TGTAAAGCCGCGTTTGAACTCCTGGATCCATCAGTGAGCGTGCGAGTTTCAGTTTCAGCTTTTATTGAAGTCATGATATAAATGTTTTTGGGGCGTCCATCTTTATTTACAGCCTGTGGTCACCACCGTCTCGGGGGCGGAGTCTCCTCCTTCATGCTTTTCTAACGTTCAGCTGGCTGTAACGACACAAACGTCAGCGGTGAAGCTCTGTAAATGTCATTTTTTTTCATAGAGGAGCTGCTTTAGAAACTGTCTGTCGTTTCCCCGCCCTCCTCGTTTCCGTCTCCTCGCTGTGCGCCGGTTTGTGCCGTTTTCGTGACCTCGGCGGTGACTCTGTGTCTTCTCTGTCCTCTCAGCGCCTGGCTCGGAGCGTACGAGCATCCCGTGGTGGACAAGATCAACCAGCTGATCGAGGACGTCACGGGGCTGAACGTGAAGACGGCCGAGGACCTGCAGGTAACGCCTCACCTGAGTCCAAACGCCGCTAACCGTCTGGCGCCTCTGATGTTTTAAGCGCTGTGTTTGATGCAGGTGGCTAACTACGGCCTGGGGGGACAGTACGAGCCGCACTTCGACTTCGGACGGGTAAATAAAACCAGATACATGAGAATCTGTTTCTGTCGCATTTATTTCTACTGAAAGATGGAAAACGATCAATTAATAACAGATATGATCCATGTTGGACACATTTCATTAAAATCAACTAAAGAAATAGATCCAATCTGTGTATTTGTATTGTAGATTTATTTATTTTAACTTTTAACAAAGTTCAGTTTTTTAAAATGAGTGAATGAATTTCTCTGACCGCCGTGCACTTCCTGTTTCAGAAAGACGAGCCGGACGCGTTCGAGGAGCTGGGCACGGGGAACCGGATCGCCACGTGGCTGCTTTACGTCAGTGCTGCTGTTTGTGTGTGTGTGTGTGTGCGTGCGTGTGTTGCTGCCGCTCACGCTCTCCTCCTTCCCGCTGCAGATGACCGACGTGCAGGCAGGGGGCGCCACCGTCTTCACTGACATCGGAGCTGCTGTGAAACCCAAAAAGGTTCAACTACTCACTTTCTTCATCATCATCATCATCA